TAGAGCGGAGCATGTACATTGGTACAGATAAGAGCTGGAAACACAGGGAACCCAGGACAGATAAACTCCTCAGGACCAATATTAAGAGTAGTCATACCAGGGGGGTAAGGGGAAGGTGGGGGGAGAAAGGGAACTGATGACCATGATCTACATATAACTCCCTCCCAGCGGGGTGGACAACAGAAAAGTGGGTAAAGGGAGACATCGGTCAGTGTAAGACATGAAAAACCTATAGTAATTTATAAATTATTAAGGATTCATGAAGGAGGGAGGATGGGGTAAGGAGAGGAAAAAATGAGAAGCTGATACCAAGGGCTCAAGTAGAAAGAAAATGTTTTAAAAATGATGATGGCAACAAATGTACAAATGTGCTTGACATAATAGATGGATGTATGGATTGTGATAAGAATTGTACAAGCCCCCAATAAAATGATTTCAAAAAATTACAAAGTTGTACAAATGTTCTCTTTTTCAAAAATCATGTTCATTTTTTCTCCAAGAAACAGAGCCATCTACAAAGTCTTAAATACACAAGGAAACCCAAGAAGCTAACTTTGGTTCATCAAAGTAGTGACATAGATTTTCCAGTAAAGGCCCAATTTTTCCGTGGAAGTAGGAAACCAGTGAATATACATAAATAATCTTTTGCCACCACTGTACTTGGCTGAGGACAGCAATAGGTTGTTATGAAATTTTTCCTTCAGTTTTTAGGTCAACAAGATTAAAGAGAGTTCCCAGCCAGCCCAATAGTTCCTGGGCCCTGCCTGCTACCCCAGGCTCCTCCTGGGCCACGTGCCACTGCAGGTCTGTTGGTATGCATGGGTCTGTTTTTTGGAGGGAAATACAAGATGGCAAGCAAGCAGCACACACTGGAGGGACTCTGATGAGAACAACACAAGGGAGCCATTGGGAGAGTTACCCTCCACTTCCAAACCCCAGGATTATCAGCATAAAGATAAGTAGACACAAATTTATTATAATTGATGAGCAGCAGTATCTGCGGCTAAAGCTCCCCTCTGTGGCACTCATGCAACCGAGCGCAGAAGCAGTGGAGCTGCAGCGACATCAGTCCATGGAAGGAGCCCAGGGCGGATAAATCTACTGGACAGCTTGGAATGGGCATAAAGGGGAAACACAACCCTAGGGCGTGCCCGTGCCACTCAGCAAAATGAATCCCCTGAGGTACAGCTAGGCATAGCCCCCGTCTTAAGACACCCAAAAAGACCAAAAAATCTAAAATAACAACAACAAACAAACCAGGACTATTAGAAAGCTTCTTTCTTTTCTCTTTTAAATTTCTCTGGGTAACACTCAACACACACCTGGTCCATTAACAAAATACTAGCACAGCAATACCTATAGAAATTGCAACAGCAACCTGGCCTTTGAGTAAGTTTTATTCCTCTGACCCTAGCCTATCTAAATAGGTGGCAGGTATAGACCCCCACCTCCACCCCCACCTGGACACTCCCATTATCCAAAAGAGTGGTGTAAATAGTAAATAGACCAACTCAATCACACAAACCCAGGAGTTCCAGCCAAAAGTCACCTGTCCTCTGAGTAGGTCATTGCTTTATTCTGCCATTCAAGGCCACTTACGTAGTTGATAGATAAAGATCCCATTTCCCCACCACGACTTTGTCAGCCCCACAATCCCAAAGAGCCACTTGAATCTCCTCTGAGCTGATTCACCAGAGGTCTATTCTCTCTAGATAATTAAATTAAATCACAAGGATACTGGACTCAGAGCCTCACAAAAACCAACACACACAGAGCAACACTTAACGCGAGGAAATAACACAGAAGGAATAAAGAAACTAAACGAAATACACACACAAATGCAGAACACACACATCAACAAAATGGCAGTTACAAATGCATATATGTCAATAATCTCACCGAATGTTAATGGCCTAAAGTCCTACTTTTGGCTGGTGCTCCTGAATTTGGTGATTGGAAATGTATGACATAATTGTTCATTCTTCTGCACCTGTATAGGGTGCCAAGCCAAAAGAAAATAAATTTTCAAAGGTTTTATCTTTTTCCTTGAAGGAAAAACATTCTTTTACTGTTCTTAGAAACCAAGTTAAAGGATAAATCCATCACATCAGTAAATTGTATAGTTTTTCTGCCAGAATATTGAGATGGATGACCTTGAAGTCCACTTTCATCTTAATCTAGTGATACAATGAATTCCCCATCTGTTAGTTGTATCTTCATCAACGCTTGTATTGTTTATTAGTGCATGGCAGCATCATGTTGTTCGTGGATTCCTATGACATTCCTTTATGAAGAAGTACATTCTGCACAAAGTAAAAAGATGCAGTTTTCATAGCCAGGCGTTTCAGCTCTTTTGATAGTATCCCACCTTTATGAATCTGAAATGAAACCTGGTAATTGTGATACTGTGTCTGTAAGAGTTGCTGATGGCCTGAATTGTCCTGGGCAAAGTTGGGTTTTTCACAAACCAGCAAGTCCCACGACACTCCTGTTCCCTTCGCAGGGTGGCCATGCTGTGCCTGTTTCAGGGTAGGCGACCATTAAGAAGCTACGCACCTCTCGAATGCAATCTTGTCACAAACTTTTTGAAGCGCTCCCTGATAGAGATTATAATGGAGCTCACTCGAGGGTGTCAAAGGATGAGTAAATGGGAGCTGAAGTATATGATGTGTGATCTTCTACCTATCCATGTACCCATTTTTCACTGATAAAATTTAAAATACACTCTCTATTGCTAATGATCGATACTTTGTGTTCCCTGCATAAAGATTAGGGACTGTGGAATACACAACCCACACTTCCCTATAACAAAGTCCAACCTTCCCAGAGATAGGAAGCAATTCCTTCGTAGCAGATCAGCACAGATGTCCAGTTGTTGAAGACAGTACACAGAGGAAATAAAAGCAATAAAAATTAAATTAACCCACATGGAAGAAACACACCAGCCAGTGTGAACATGCGGTGTCACCAGGACAAGGTAACAGGCATCAGAAGACGCAGAATAAACAAACAGAAACAGCATCTTGTTGAGGAGAGGGGTTGGAGCAGAAACCCAACGCCCATCTGTAGTCAATGGGACATCACCTGTGTCAGTCTTGGAAGACCAGAGAACCAAATCCACAGAAACTCATATGTATATAAGAGAGAGTTTTATATAAAAGGTAAGTGAACATTAACAAAGCATCCCAGCCCAGTCTAGTCCAAGCCCGTAAGTCCAACATTAGCCCATATGTCTGACACCGATCTAAAAAATCTTCAAACTAGCCAGACACATGCAATAACACCGACTGCAGGAGGAAAGTTGAATAAGTGAGTGTGTAGGCATCTCAGCACTGGC